TGGCATTACGCAATGCAAAGCGTCATGCTTGCATTGCGTAATGCAAGCATGACGCGCAGGTATTTCTTGGAGTGTGCCCCGTCTGCACATGCCACAAACGGGCTGCAATGCCTCTTCAGGCAGCCTACCGGGTGTTTGGGGAAGTGGTTTATCAGTTTGCACATTTTGGCGAGTTATTCTGGTGCCGACAAACACGTTAGAGTTAACGCAGTTTGCTACCTTCTTGAGATTGTGTGCGGGTTTAAGCATGTATGGTACAATCATCCCTTTCTGTTTCTTTTAGGCTGTGTTTTGATCAGGACTGCCTTCTACTTGTGGCTTCTTTACAACCATTTCGTCAAAAAATACCAGGAAGGAGTCCGGAAAACCGACAGCCATCAGGCGTTCCGACTGCCTTTTCAGGCCGCTTTATCTTTGGCAGTTGCTCCTGCGAATTGGGAGTTCGCGCAGCCGAGATACATCCTTCAAAGAATAGCTCGCGCTTGCAGCCTAGGAGCGAAATAGTTGTACATTACAAAAAGCTGGTAAAAAATAAAGTAAAACAAAGCGCAAATGAACACAGATCAGCATAAACTGTGTGAATACGTTAAAAGAGCATAGCTACTTTTCGAGCGAAAATAAATTGAATAGATGAGACCACGATGGCGCGTGCTATTTCTAGCGAATCGGGACTCAGTGGCATTGGGGGGGGGGGGGGGGGGGGGGGCTCAAGACCCCCTCCCCCCGAAATGCAAAAGCTACCCCTGCTCACGCAGTCGGTTGTGCACGAAACACGGAGCCACGGGGGAGCGCGTACCATCTCCAACTTATATGCTTTCCTGAAAAATGTTTCTGGGGTAGAAAATGTTCAAATATATAAAATAGGCCATACTACTTTAATCATGCTTATTTGATGGGATGCAGAACTTGATCACAGTATATAGAAAACGGATATTTCGAAACATTTGTCGGGTGAAGAATGGCAATTCGAAGGCAAAGTATAAATAACTATCCTCACTGAAATACACAGTTCAATCAAACCAAAGGATGGTGATAATATAAAACAACGTCAGTGATGTAAGGAATATTAAATGAATTGCAGAAACAATTGCTCTGCAAGCAACGGTGGCGCTGCGCCGACGCACGCCTTGTGTACTGATCAGAATTGCGTGCTTTCGACTAGACATTACCGCGAATAAAAGGACAACTATAAATAGTTATTTCAGAAAGCAATTTAAAAGCTCTCTTGACCATTTTATTTATGCCAAGCGCCTATACATTGAGATGCAGCCGCCTGCGTTCACAGCAAAACATATCCAGGGCATCCTCCACTTGAACTTCAATGTCGCGGTGAACATTCAAAAGCGTATAGACCGAGCAGTCGCTCATTCGAAGTTGACGCTCTCAGGTATGTTTTTAACCATCGTATTGAAGAGAACGAGCGCTCAGCTTCCGCTATTGTTTACGGGCGGAGTTGCCAGGATCTTGAGGAGACGATGGACGTTCTGGAATAGGGCCTCCGGGCAGAGGGCGACCGCCTGTAGCGCAGGTGTGACGGGCGTTTCACGTTTCTCCCTCTTGCATTGGACGCCTAGAATTTCTCTATTTTTGTAGAAGTTTTTTTCACTTTGAGAAATTTCCCTCCATCGATACGCCGTCTCGATGGTCGCTCACGGATGCAATGTAATCCGTCCTGTTTTTTTTTTTTTTTTTTTGCATGTTGAGGTGGCATTGGATGTAATTCCTTATTAGATTGATCGCTTCGTCGCACGCAACATCAAAAACTTCGAAGAGACTAGCCTTCATACTCTTACTACGCTTAGGCGCAAGAAGCCCCCGTGCTTTTGGCTCAAGGCCTACTGAACAATGCCTGCACACCCCGCTTCCCCCTCCCCCGTCCCCTCGGTGTCCCCGTCGTTGCCCAGCTCCGCCAAGCCACGTATTTGGCTAAGGGCAAGCACGTGGCTCTGTTTTTGTTAGTGCTGGTCACCCACTAAATTACGGCAGAACCTTCGCCCACGAAATTCCAGGAAGAAAATTGTGAACTAAAGCAAAGTGCAGTAAACCGCGGACGACGCGGCAGCTCAGAGAAAATGGGGAAAAAATGTAAAAAATCCGGCGCCTGCGGCCTGCATAGCACAATCAGGGAGATCTTCTTTCCCCTGCTTGGTTGCTTGGTTACTGCACTCTCGGGTTGGCCAGGCGGGGGAACGCGCAGCGCACTGTTTTTGTGTACCCAGTCAGCCAGCCGTCTTCTCCGTTTTGCTTACATTTGAGCAGTGACGTTTCCCCAAAAACACAAAAACTCTTCTAGTTTTTTTTTTATTTTTTTGTTTTGTTTTGGCGGTCTGAGCAACCACGAGGGTCGGGTAATTGGTTCTGTGGGGAGAGCCGAAGCGCGACGCGGAGAGATGATCTGCGCGAGAAAGAAAGCCCTTGAAAGAAGTACTGCCTACAGGTGTAGCAATTGAGGGAGTACATCATCCCAACTCCCAAGGCAAGAGAAGGCATTAGTAGGCGACACAAGTTGTCAAGGGAGAGATCGCACTGCAGTCTGTATTGGAAGCGCCGCTATCACGGTGGTGGCCGGAGACATCAAATAATCATGGCATTCTCGACTGTATTTCTGTGTCTGGTTTTTGAAACACCCTTTGGTTCTTGGCGAGCCAGCCTGCTATGTTAAGGCGGACACGTCATTATACACCCAGACTGTTTCACACTCTTTTCAAAAACGACCATAAAAGCAAGAAACATGCTGAAATGAAAAAGGGCATCGCCAGTGAAGGTTTACCACCGAAGGACGACCGCGTCCACCTGTGGTAAACATTTCCCGACATTTTGAAGAATGCATTGGCGTCCAGTGATTTCCTTAAACCCCCCCTACGGGGATGTACACCCCCCCCCCCCCCCCCGTCCTTTTTCCGAAGGCACTTCCTTAATTCATAACGACTCCTCTATTCTCAATAGGCCCCCTCCCCCCCTCCCCCCAATAATTTCACTTCCTGTGGAAACCCCTGTTGTCGTCTACGATTAAAATACATCTTCGTTGAAAATGTGAGCTTTCTACGTGCAGGCACCCGATTTTCCAATGTATTTTACTTAGACACCGTAGACCAATGCCACCGTTCAGCTACTACTATTGGATCCGATTGTGTCAACATTTCATGCTTCCTGACAGGAATTTCGGATGAATGCATGGACACGCGGCATAGGTAGTAATAATCGAGCTTCTATAAACAGTAAAATCTTGGTGATGGTTGTTCTTTCAATATTAATTTTTGTAACCCCATCTCTCTGCTTACTTCGACTGCTAGCCCCCCCCCCCCCCCCCCCCCCAACCACACACACACACACACACGTAAAATACAGTTCCGGGGTCGCTGCTTCGGACCACGCTGCAGGATAAAGCGGCCTAGCAAAGACTCTCGTTCCTTCGGCATCTGGTTCTGTAGCACGAATTCGGTAAACCTTAAATAGATGATAGATCTTGGTTTTGTAATTGTTCAGAAATACCTTTGCCCTATATATGTGCCCCTGGTGTTTGTGCGTGGTCGGTTGCATAATTTTTCAGCGTCGAGATTTTTTTTTTTTTTTTTTTTTTTTTTTGTGACGCTATAGTTATCCTTGTGATTTCTCTGGTCTTCACGCGTTGGTAATGCAGTGCTACCTCAAAAAGCGGAGGGATTTGTGTGCTTTGAGGAAGCTTTTAAAGTTGGTGGACCGCAACTACGACGACAGTAGAACAGTGAGCCACCACGCCCGTATTCCTGTAAATGAAGCCTGCTCTGTTTCCAAAAATGACAATGCAGCTTTACCCGTTTTATCTCAACAGCGCCTCGCTAATCTTTGCCTGAGCGTCCGTACCGCCGAGCTCACCCTGCGTCATGTTGGGAAAAAGGGGGGGGGGGAGGAGAATGCTGTTGAACCCCTTCCCCTTTCCGAAATAAAATCCTGGCTACGCCGCTGCCGAGGCTCGTAGCCGGTTGCCGGCAGTGTTTCCAAACAGAGCCGGTTTCGAAACGTCGTGACCTTCTTTTATGATTTGTTTGGTGATTTGATTTAATTTTCTAAATACAATAGTCGTTTGTGCACGGTCACATTAGCGCTTTGACGGCGGCCGACGCTCATGTACGTGTACGGCGGCGATTGGGAGGTTCCCACGTCTCGCATGTCGGCTGCCCCTGCGGTAATGGAAATGAGATATCTGGGACCTTCTGATTCAGACTTTCAATGCTTCTCCGAATTAAATTCAAAAAACGAAAACTCATCATTTAATGCAGATGCTCCGTAAAATACCACTTGTTCGGAGTCTGAGACCGCCAGATTGTAGATTGGAGCGGACACGCGAAGAAAAAACCGAATGAAAGAAAGGCGACAACATTTCGCTATTAATATTTGCATTAAATACTTTCTCAATCTGAACAACTTACAAACGCTATACGTGCTCCACCTAGTTAAAAAAAACGCTTTGCATTGACTTATTTTTATTGCTATCTCTAAACAAACAAAAAAGAACAACAATAAAGTACATGTTTTGAAAAAAAAAAAAAACATTTCGACCTCCCAAAAGGGGTATGAAACTAAAAACAGCGCGAAAACTGAAGGACAAGAGAAAACATACAGACGGTAAGATTACTGACCACTGATTTTTATTAGAATGGCTCCAAAAATCGTTGCGATTGGTTAATAAGATTAACAAAGTGTAAGTTATATAAAAATCAGTTACCAGTCAGCGTTTCCGTCTGCAGATACGTTCGAAGCATAAGGCAAACGTGCTTCAAACACTCTCGTACTTCTCATCCTGCGTACGTCCCCACGCTGTTTACAATTTCGTAGTGCATAGCCAAGCCGCCTTAAATGCCAACAACATTTGATCCTGTGCCAGCCAATCTCTACCATGTCTAAAACCCCAAACAGACTCGTAATATTATTTTCATTTTATTTTGATTCCGACCACCAGGGACGCACATAAGCGGATGTAGCGAAAGTGCAACGCAGAAAGTCAAATTCACGTGATTTCTTCAGCGAACGACGACGCCTGGCATTTCATTGGTAGCCCTGCTCCAGTAGTCGATGATGTGCTTGTCAAGTTGAGTTTCCAGAACCGCCTTGTTTTTCTTCATCGCCTCCACCCACTGCACAAGACGCGGAAAATCCTCGGACGATGGAGCCTTGAGGTCTTTAAATATGACCGGTGCGCAGAAGGCGATGCAGAAAAATGGCCAGATCATGTAGTCAGCAAAACCGGGAACGTCTCCTAAAATTCAGAAATCAAAGTATGAAACTTTTCGGGGTAGGGGAAGGTGGAGAGAGGTGAGGGAGAGGGTGTTTGCTTCCGAAATAAATCAACGAAGGGCACGAGGACTTCCCCTTTTCGAGAACGTTGAAAACCTAGGAGGGCGGTTTTGTATTTTGTGCCATTTGATGTTGTTTAATCCTTTCATGTCTGCGCATACGCTTTAGATATTTAGAGTGCAACTATAAATGTTTCGTTAGAGTGTATCTTTTTTATATTCATAGAAACTTTAAGTAATATTTGTTAGACCATCGAAAATGGCGTTTTTGCGGTTTTCAATTATTCGTAAATCATCTTTGTCTTGCACATAATATTTTGATTGTTCATTGTACTGAGTGGCTTAAAAAAAACTAATTAGTTTATTTTATTACTTTTTTGGTGTGTTGCGATTCCCCGCGTGTCCGCAATAACATAGGGATTAAAAACAGCGCGATAAGACGAGGACCAGACAAAGAAGTTACACGGACGCACGCTGACTTACAACTGAGTTTATTGAACGCAAAATCGCAATATATACTTGCGTTGTCACGAACAAAAGAGCAGAAAGAATTCATCCCACGTGATACATCACCAATGAAGGACAAAAAAAAAAATGCGCCATGACACAGCCGTACAGAGTACGTGCTGTTTTTTCACGCTGTATTTAATTCCGAAGTATGTACCAACTCGCCCAAGCTTCAACTTTAGCATCGCAATAACATGTTCTTTTGTATGTGCATTTTATTTGGAACAAAAAAAAAAGCTATATTCAAAATAACACCAGATTATTAAAGAGGAGATCAAGCGTCATATACAGTGAAAATTAAATTCAGTTGTTTAAATAATAAAATTAAATGTTTTTTCTGGTGCATGTCCCCTTAAAGTAAAACAGAGTGTAGAAATATCCGTGAATCTATTTTCATATAGAGCACATGGGAAGCCAATCACTGCAGTCTTTGCAGTAGGATAAAGAATGAACAGGTAAGAAAAAAAAAAAAAAAAAACAACTTTCGAGCTAAAACTGAAGTCAGCTCTGATGGTACAGTCACAATGTCTCGAACATGTAAAAGGTTAAGAGTAAACGTCCAGGTCAATCGGTGAGCCTACTCCAACCAGAAATAAAAAAAAAAAGAGACGTGGAAAAAAAAGCAGAGAAGAATTTTAAGACATTCCTTATGAGTTGTGAATCAGAAAACATGAATGTCGCTCTACCGCTCCCTTAATTCGTCTGCGGTGTACTGGCGTGGACGGCCACGTTTCCCTACTGCCGAGGTTGCGGCCGCCGACGATAGAGATGCCTCAGGGACCGCCACGTTTCTTGGCGCTGAATAAGCAAAAGCGGCCGCAGCCCCCCCCCCCCCCCCCCCTTCCCCCCGGCAACGCCTTCACGAGAGCGGTGGCCGAGCGCGCGCTCTCGTGAAACGTCGCCAATGGCTATCTAGGAGCCGTTTTGCTCAGCCAATAGAATAATAAGCCTATCTTTTGCGTTTTTTTTCTTTTTTTTTTTTTGCGGTTACAGACGCCGCCGGCTCCGTTCCATGGGATAGTTAATGCTTTAGCATTAATAACCGACGTACACACTCACACAACATGTGTGTGCATGTTACTTTATTTTTACCTTGTGTCGAGTTGACGTATAAACGTAAAACAATCCATGGATTTTATATCGCAGACTTTTCTGTTTAAACAAAAAAACGTTATCCCCGACGTCGTCCGGCGCCGAGCTTCCTCTTTATATATTCTAATGTTTGGCTCTACGTTGCTGTGTAGGAACATGTACACACGAAAAGTCTAGAGCGTTGCCTAGATTGTTTTTCCGCTAGCCAATTTTAAAATTGCAACCTATGTCAGAGGACAGCTGGTGGAGTATGCCTGTTTCCGTCGCAAAATCCCTGGGCTAAAGCCACATGGGGCCTTTTTTTTCTCTGACGGTCTTTTCGACGCGTGATGGAATGACTGAAAACTTGCAGGTGGCCACTTTGAGGAGGACATTCAAACGCTTGCGCCACGTAATAAAAAGTGTCTAAATTGGCACGGTGATTGCATGGAGAATTAGCTATATTATCTGTCAAATTTTGTATATACTAGAACATATTTTTATCACGCTTGTATTCTGCTTGCTCTGCTCATCGGGCATTGAAAACAAATACTCGTATTTCGGCAACTTACAACATGCAAAGACAGATATTTCTACACTAGATCGCTCGAGTATCGTGGTTCCTTATAAAATATGAACAGATAAGAGCCTTCTGTGCATTCGTTCTGTGCCGCTCCAAGCTAAGTCACACTGCTTAAAAACTGTTTCATACGTATTTGATATTATTTTCTATTGTTTACAGTTCATTCCAAATAAAACCGTTACCAGGTTTATATTAAGGTAAACCAGTTTCATATGAATACCATTTCAAAATTTCATTCCATTTCCAAAGCATAAAATAACGCACTTGCCGCGCGCCTGTGCTACAGACTCCCAGCTTTTTGCTGCTATGTGTGTATGCACGTTTGTCAGTAAACAAGATGGAGTGCTCTGCCGCTTAGAAGCATGAAGCAGCTTTTGTTCCACTCCACAGTTACAAAAACTAAAAACGGAATACGACCCTATACGCTCGTTTATTCTACGACAAAACCTTTTGCGGGTGTTTAATCGAGCTTATCTCTTCCACATTTCGCGAGCATAGGATGGACACGTGTTAAAGCTCAACAGGAGAAAACACAGCACAACATCCTGTACGTTGTGCTGAAAGAAAGCAAACGTGACACGCCCGTAGCTAGAAAATGCATTAATACACGTACTACGTAGCATACGTTATAAGAGAGTTAGCTTCAGAATCCCGTAAACTCTCGTAATATAAATAACTTTGTCCTTCGAAAACCCGTCCGGCGTGTCACATGACACACATATTGACGGCAATCAGATAATTGTTTTAAATGTTTCGGGTTTTTTTTTTCGTTTTTTTTTTTAAGATTCACCGAAGAGTGAATTCAGTCGTGAATAGTGCTGTCACCACCTCCGTTTCTGAGAGTTATGCGACGGCAGAAATATTCGTATAAGTAAGCCAATAAACGGTGTGAAATCACACTTCTCACAAAGATGTGTTTAGGTGGTGCACGAGGTGGCGCCTAAAATATTTTTTTTATGCACAGGAGGAAAACGGTAAAAACCTCTGTTGACGTTGATTCTAACAGGTGGTATAAAATAAAGCAGAAACCTGAAAGGTGCTTTGAAATGAACACCTGAAAGCAGGTTCACTAGAACGGAGCGTGTGTGTTACCATCTGTGGATAGCAGCGTCAATAAAGCGGTTTTTAGCGTTCTTCTTCCTGTGCATAAAACCAAAAACAAAGAAAACAAAAAAAAAAGGACTTTTTGTCGCCTTCTCGTCCGTCCTCTTTGGTTAGAATAATGTGCAACGTTACCCCATCTTGCCTGTCCATTAAATTGTCATCTATATTTTAGGCTTAGCTATCTTTTTTTCCGGAAACCCACACTAATGAAATCTGAATACAATAAAGGCACTACCAAAAGATACCTTTCTGAAAAACTTCAACGCACTCCGCTCATTGGTTTATTTATACGAACTGTTTTACATCCGAAAAACACTGAACGGCATGTAAGCACTTTTTTTAGGCTTCAGGACAGCACTACATCGATCCTTCGCCTTTTTGCTTGTAAATTTGTGAATGAAGGTACATTAAAAAAAAAATGAATCCTTTCGACTATTTGTTTGTGGTAGCATTTTCGTCTCATATATTACACGTACGCATCTCTGAACAAAGCTTGAAACTAGACTGCACCACCACCTCCTTTACCCCACAGCCCCAAAAGTAAAAAATGAAAGTTCTTGTCATACCTGCAAAGAAATTTGTGTTTCTTTCCTTCAGTTCTGCTTCGAATCTCCGGAAATTTCTTGTTTGCTCCATCCAGATATCCTTCCTGTTTTCGCTTTTGTACATAATCTTCAAGGCTGGCATGAACGCCTGAAGAGCAGAGATAACAACCATGTGCTATTTGTGTGTCATAGAAAACACATCTTATTTCTTCATATTTGTAATATAATAACAACTCACATTCGTGACGACATCAATAAAGAGCTTGTCTTTCGCCTTGCAGTACGGGTCAGCGGGAATCAGTGAATTCTCTGCTCCGTAGGTTTCATCCAAGTACTCGAACAAGACCATAGACTCGTAGAGGACCTTGCTATCTTGTTGCAAAATTGGAACTTTTCCAACAGAATTCAGCTTGAAAAGCCACTCGGGTTTTTTCTCAAGATCGACATATATAAATTCATAACTGAATAAAAAAAAAAAAACGGTACAAAAAGTCGATGAGTGCTTTGCGAACTACGATATTAAGAAGTGCAGTGTGCGACACGCTAAAAGTATAAACCCTTTTCAAATAATTAAATCGGCACAGTAGCATTAGATATATTAACATTTTCGCTGGAGTGACGCCTTAGCAAAAATGGCGTGCATTAAAGCAATACGTTAGTAACATTTTAAGGCCTTCCATTTCTGCAGTTCAGTAATACGGCCTCGAGTTACGCATATCAGTATTCCTCGTGTAGGTCGCATATGTGAATAGAAATTGCTGTTTAAAAAATTGAAAACGTGTATAATTGCATATTCAACAAAAATATTAACGCAAAAAAAAAACGGGCAAGAGCAATTATTTTACGCGACCAGGAGCACCTACGCTCCTTCGAAGTTGAAAAAACAAACAAACAATAATATCGAAGCACCATCCAGTTTAAATTATTCTGGTAATCCCTATGCGTGATTAAACCAACACCAATGTTTCAACGGTGACGTTAATTTGCTGTCGATGGCAAAATTACTATACGTTCGCTTATCTCCGCCCGAAAAGTATTTCGTTCACAAGTGTAAGCTTCGTTTCTACCATCCGTCTATGGTGTGATTTAAGACATCCATAAAATCTACACACTAAGAGCGAGTAGAGCGGGCGACAGTATGAGTTGGCACAACGGAGCGCCAGCCGATGAGGTAAAATGCCGTATGGGTAACGCCCGGCATGCTAACCGACAAACGGGCGGCCATAGTTAGAGAACGGGGAATAGCTGCAGCCCGTCTAGCCTCCAACAGAGCGTGACGCATCACGGGGAAGGCACTTTACATAAAGTTTTGAGCGCTCCGGCTGGCATACTTCGTTGCGTCACCTCAAATCACCGCTCCGTATACAAAGAAGAGATGCCGACCCGAAGCATCGGTAGCCCTTATTTCAGTCCGGTACGTATCTACTCACGATATGTCTTTAGCATGAAGCAGCAGGAGGCATCTCTGGACATATGGACAAGTTTTAGTGCCGTAGATCCGAAGTACTCCAGGCTCCAAAGGTGGGCAATTCATTCCTTCACAATAGAGATGAGATATATATATATATATATTTAAGAAGTTATACCATCAGCATGCACTGAACCCTCAACTAAGCGTTGCGTCTGTTGGTGGCTCTTCAACGTGAAAGGCTATCCTGTAACGTGTGTAATAAAAGCTTGAGGCGGCTGCCATTAAGGTGAGAAACAAAGCTAGTTATATACAGAATTGCGTCAGTTTCACGTCACATAAAAATGCAGAAGGGACATAAACTCCAACCCTTGGGGCACTGACCCGTTCTGTAGATTTCTGTTGACATCGCTTTGCTTCAGAACTCGCTCCCTGGATATACGGGGCTCTTAAAACTCACGACGCAATCCTGAAAGAGAAAACGAACGAAGCCGAACTGCCGCACAACTGTTGCGAACTGAGTCCAGCCGGTACTGCAGAGCGAGGTACGGGTAATAGTATTGAGAGAGCGTTTTTTCCCTCTGTATGAAAAACCGACAGGTTGAAACCGCACAGGCTATCAGGCATTTTAGCGTTCTGCTACAAGGTTTGCCAATGGCTTTTCATCGTTACTATTTTTTTTTGTTTTGTTTTTGTAAATATATTTCGGTTACGGGTGAGTCGAACGTATAGCGCTTATAAAAATAAAAGACATAATATTTTACTACAAATATTTACTTCAGGATATGCCTAATAAAACACATGTGACCCGCAGTGTTTGAAAGAAAAAAAAAAAGCCATTGCATTTTTGCAGGACATGCAGGAGCCAATAATTGTGATTTTTATGGGTTTTGATAATGAATTTTGATTTGCGTTTGTAACAAAAAGGAAGTAAAGTTGAAGGACCTCAACGGCGCAATCTTTCTTCAATGCTTCGACTCACACCCGAAGAAGTCCCGAGTCATTTGTAACTCCAAATCCGCGAGTATTTCTAGATAAATTAAACGTTTTGCAGATATAGGCCACATTAAGTAAACGAAATCTGGCTTTGTTCCTGAAACAAATAAAATTTACACATACCGATATCACGTTAAATGCTTTTGGCTCACGGTTTCCGAAACAGCACTTAGCATATGAATCGGATACGCTCGGAAACTTTGGCTGGAACGAACCATAGCGCATGCGATGAGTAAACAACCTTGAATGCATCTCAAGCGACTTTGTATAAGTCATCTGTTTGTTGTTGTTGTTGTTTTTTTTTTTCTTTGTGTCCCTGCAGAGGTAGTTGTGCTGCCTACTAATGCCATTTTCCAATGGCATCACAATGGAACGTCAGGAAACTTTAGAACTAATATAACTAGTTTTACATTAAATAAAAATAGACTGATAAGACGTGAATAATCACGGGGAGAGGCACTGTAAGCACCTGACCAACACCCTTGAATATAAAGTCATGTTACTTGTAGAGCCAATGAATTAAAGCTATGCTCACAGTTTTACTCGAACGCAATGATTTTTTTATTTTATTTTATTTCCATCCGGCTTAGAAAACCAAATTAACCTAATTTAACTACACTAATAAAAAAACTTGCAGGGATTTTTTGTACCCGATTCATCCGTAAATATACTGATATAAAAAACAGGCCTTGTTAGGTCAACCTCGCTGCAACGAGACGCGTACAGTTTCCCCACACTTAACATTACCACCCAATCGCCCGGCTTTGTTTGCGGTCTCGGTGCAATAGGAGCGCCAACCATACCAGTTTACCGCCCCCCTACACGGTGGAGAGAAGTTCGACTAGTACTTCTGCTGAATAATTGCCGAGTCGCCGTCAATCGCTGAGTCTATTGACAAGCACGTGCTGGCTCTGTGTTTGAGAAATGCGTTTCCTTTAAAATTATATTAGCTACCGCCTCTCAGGGCAGCAAACAAATTTATAACATGGTGTAGCAGTGGAACAAACTCACTGTTCTGCAACTGTTATGCTGCAGCACACAACGCACACTATCTTTAATGGATGGTCGGATTTTAGCAGTGTTGATGGTAACGCGTTACGAGAAATGGCGTTACCGGTAGCGCGTTGCTACTAAAACTTCAAAGAAATTAAACTTCATTTTTTTGTGTATCTAGGCGCCAAGTCATTTGAATTCTTGCACTCATTCGACATACCTTCAATATTGTGCCAACTATTGATAATGTGTTTGACGTTTTACGTCATAGCAGTAAAACGTTTTAATTTATAAATAAAATGTAACGCAAAAGTAACGGCTGTTGCGTTTCATCGGTAACGCTAGCGCATTCCTTTTATTTGCAAGTCACGAGTAACGTATTTCTTGCGTTTTTTCGGTAACGCCGACAACACCGTTTTTTTAGCAACAAATCCCGCCCGTCTTAATTTTTACAGAGCATACGGAGAGTCACACGCTTTTATTTACAATGTAGGGCATCATAGCTTCTCTAAAGAGTCATAAACAAAAAAAGAAACTCAAAAAACACTTAACACTACTACGTAGAATGCAAAAGCATTTTTACAAGCAGCACATTCCTACAAGCAGTGCGCCACGACTTCCTTTTGCACACGGCGCTCCGGCGGTGACATCACGCTATCTCCAAAGCGCAGGCGCGGCGCACCCGCCGGCTTCACGGCTTCAGTGACGGTGCATCTGCGTTGCTGTGCTTTTCTTTGCGTTTTATTTCTGAGGCGCGTCTGCTTTGACCTTGATTTCGGGCACAACGTCGACGCCTTAGCGTAATGGAACACACAAGGCTTCCGCCTTAAAAGGAAAAAGAAAACAGATATATTTTAGCAAACCCGGAATCACCAGCAAAGTCTGGAACTTAAAGAAAGATGCTTGCACTGGAACGCTGAGCATGATAATAGCATTCTCGGAATGTCAACCCAGGCTAGACTTTTGCGGCCAAACTATATCGGTAATATTTTAGCTGATGCTCTTCTTTCTGTGAATAGCCATGTGACTAAATATTTGTGTGATTTGCAAAGAAAAAGAAATACGAACATCCGAAGTTTGTTTATAAGAAAGGGATTCGGGAGAAGTTCCGGGAATTCAAAGCCGTCAGACTGCGCGTGTTATCAGACATGCGAGAATTTCATGAACTGCGCATCTCAGAAAACTGAAACTCCTTGAGAATGTGACGCTACTGGTGGTGACAAAATGCGAAAGTTTGACAATATGACGTACTTGGATCCAAAGAAACGAAAGAAAATTAAATTTGCTCTATAAGCCTAGGTCCACCTAAACCTAATATTTATCAAACCAAAAAATGGCATTGTACGCGACTGTATACCATATAGTTTCGTGGTTGAAAGAAGGTTGTCCGAGCGGAAGAAAACACACGTGACGTCACGAGGGTCACGAGTGACGTTATTATGGGAAACATCCCATAATACAACGCGCGGGTCACGAGTGACGTCACGAGAGTCACAAGTGACGTCGCGACAGTCACGAGGGTTACGAATGACGTCACGAAGGTCACTCGCGAAGGTCACGACCTCCACAGTGAAGGTGACGAACCTCACATGACCTTCACTGGTGAAGGTTACCGAGGCCTTTACGAGTGACGCCGCGAGGGTCACGACTGTTACGTGTGACGTCTCGAGGGTCACAAGTGACGTCACGAGGGGCAGGGAGGGAGGGAGATCAGGAGGGGGAGGAGAGGAGGAGAATGAGAGAAGGAGGATGAGGGGGAGGAGAGAGGAAGAGGAGAGGAGGGGAGGAGGGGAGAAGGAAAGGGTACGGAGGAGGACGGGCATACCCTCCTTTCCGCACCCACCCCTCCTCCTCTTCAAGAGCTGCGCTCTAATTCAATATTACAAGGAGTTGTAAACGTCTTTGATGTCTTGTGTGCTCCTTTCTTTTGCTTATGAAAACCTGTGGCGCCTAAAAAAACTGGAACACTGCGGCTCACAAAATAAATCCGCACGCTGGAACAAAGATATCACAAATTTACTAAGTAAATTCGAAAATCAAAGATCATCACAAGAAGCAAAACAATTTCGACCAAAGTTGATATGCAACCGGATTTTTAGAAAAGTAATAGCAAACCCTTTTGAAATTATCGTGAGCTCGTAGTAACGCATAAAGTGACAGCGTGTTTACAAGATACTGATAACAAAAAAAGAAAAAAAGTCTAACGGAATTACGAAGTAGAAATCAAGTTCACAAAAAATTAAATAAAAACATTGCATTAACAACCTTTCAGATAGTTCTCTACCTTCGAACACTCCCATGACCTTGTTGGGTTCAGGTGAATTAGAATTCTTGGAATAGAGATACGCACATACATAAGAAACAATTGTATATCAGATCCGCCTATTCAATATTGTACAAGAATGGCGGATAGACAGTCTTTTTCGGGAAATAATCATTTGTGTATGAAAATACTCTATAATCTAGGAACACTGCTAGAGCGTTCAAAACCTTCCCAAACCAACTGTGTGAAGAGAAAAAAAAAAAAGAAAAAACAAGCCATGCTAAATAGGCTATTTCAAAAGTTCGACAGCAGCGACCTGTCTTAGTCAACTTCGTACAAGTGGACAGAGCTTATTTTCAAGAATAATAGATCAATTCACAAGTAGGAAGTGAACTATTTCTTTCTAAATTCCCAGAAATCACATCTCGGTTGTCTTGAAGGATGCATAAGGAGTGATCGAATGGCTCTAGGTTAGCCAATGCACAGGTCGATACTCGAATAATAAATATGAGGGGTGCGACCACTCTCCACTCCTCGGACCTGTGCGCAAGAAAAAAACTCAAATGAAATATTTTCAACATTGAGAGCAATTATTTACAGCAGTAAAATGTTGTTCTTATACCGTCCATCCCGCTTACGAACACGTGTGGCGCTTAACTGAAAACTAGAGCACTGCGGCAAGGAAAATAGATCACCGCATAGGCGCAAAGTTCAATATACTTGTAAAATAAGCGCACAATACCAGAACCCTCACAGGTACTGGAAACGCTAAATGGATAAATGTGGAAGTACAACTGGATCATGAGAAAGACCATTGCTGGTCATGAACTCGTAGCAATGTATCAAGAAACTTGGCGTGTTTACAACACGCAGATAGCAAGAGGAACGTTTAGAACTGACTATAGATTAATTGCTAGGTGCGAATCATTTGGAGAGTAAATAAAACGCACAGCTCTCCAGGAATCCAACTGTATTCTCCGACATCAACGCCCCCTAAACCCCATCCAACGAGCTTGCAAAAATTGGCCACCGCTCGAGGTTCACGAGCCGTCAAACCTTCTACAACACTGCCTCGAAAGCATTCCCAGAGATGCCTAAGCTTTTCTGGCTACGTTCCTTACACAAAGTAGTCTGTAACCGCGCTTGTATAATTTCACTTTCTTTCAACAGCGGCTATGCCATCGTCAAGAACGAGAAGGATAACGGTTTTGGAGCTGAGTAGGTCCACTTTTAATATTTTAGTCCTACATAATACCTGTTTCTGTGAGAACTAAAACAACATACTTAGGTTGGCATCGTACTGTCGTTACACTCTTTTTATACGGCGCTCCCTACTTCCCTACCTCAACACGAATCTCTTACGACTTTATTATTTGACAACTGTTTTTGTTTTTCTTGAACACACGGGTTTTGTACATTTTTTTGCGTTTTAGCTCATGATCTTAAATGATTCAACGATATAAAATAAGTAAAATCGATTGAGGTAAACAAAGAGTGCAACACCTACTTCGAGTCAGTCAGTATATGTATAGCACTTGAAATAATGGCGCGAATGCAACTTTTCCGCAGGAACAAAAATGGATTCTTCGTAGTTGGATTCGTGAAACCATAGTGTAGTACAGTGCTAGACAAAACGAAATGAACCCGCGGAGCGTATGGCCTAGCGTACCTGCTGCGATATCTTCCGGGAAAAGCCGTGCAATCTTCTGTCGCGAGTCGCACATGCGCCTAACTGAGCCAAAGAGTCAGCGGCTGTTCGCGCTCAAGGCGCAGACTCCGATAGGTGATTACTACAAAGCATGAAACTCAAGCTTAACCGATTTTTCTAATAATCGCGAGACACTCGCAAATATTTTCTTTCCTTCAAGATGTAAAGTTATATTGCACCCAATTTATATATCTAAAGAAAGAAAACCGAATATATTTCCTTATCAAGATTAAAATAAGGGCACACCTGCCATGACACTACACATTTATTTCGTATGAACAGTGAGACCACTGGGAGTGGTGGTTACTTTTTTTACAAATTCAGCCTTTGGAAAGAGATAAATTTGTTTACGCAACTGCAAAGAAGATGGGGGAAAAAAAACACCGTCATGTTGCAAACTCATGGCCAGCGTTGATCACCTGTTAGGGGTTATGCACCGCACTCGAACAGTAACTGAGTGCTTAGCTCAGCTGTGTTCATTGGCAACTCTCGACACCAAATAGACCGCTCCTCCTGGCAGACATGCCAGAGGTACGCGAGGCCACGCGCTCCGCTGGACCATTTCGTTTCATTGAACTCTGTACTTCCTCTTACAGCGTTGGGAGAAGTGCACGCCGACAAATCAGTAGCTGCTGCATAGAGTACGAGTAAAATTTGACCTCTCATTGGTGAAAAAACAGCTATAGTTCGTACTTCAAGACTTTCCGAAATGCAACAAAATGCTGAAAACTTTGTCGTCTTCACACTTGGGAGTGAACCTGCCTGGTTGAAATAGACTTCAGTGGAAGGATCGCTTTGGATTTCCTTCCCCCAATGGTCTTCGTAACGGCTGCGGTGGAAAATGCATGTTGGGGAGGAGATCGAACAGTCCCGCCTCTGGCGGAACACTCCAGCTGTGGTGACAACAAACCGAATTTTCTTGACGATAATAATCCCTGGAGGAGGGGAACAAGGGGGACAAAGGGCAAAAACCAATCTCCAAACGCAGCTATAGGTGACTGGTGCGCGACTGAAAAAAATCTGCCTGGACCAGGTATCGAACCAGGGACCTCTCCATTTCCAGTGGAGCGCTTTACCTATTGAGCTAACCAGGAGTTAGACGTCAGTAGAGCAAACGGGTTTCATCATCTGCCAACAAGGGTGATCGGCCTGCATTCTTTAAGGTTATAATCAGCTGATAAAATCCGTTTGCTCTAATGACGTCCAACTCCTGGTTAGCTCAGTTGGTAGAGGGCTCCACTCAAAATGGAGACGTCCCTGGTTTGACGCCAGGACCAGGCAGATTTTTGCAGCGGCTGTCACCGAACCGCCAGCGGTTGTCACCGAGCATTGCAATGGTCGGTGACGTCGCAGTTGATGTCACCGACCGTAGCAATCTACGACAGAAACTGTATAGCGAGTTAAGAGTCCAAGATTACCGCATAAAAGCTGCGCTCTGATGTTCCATATCCCCGGAAGAAATTACAAATCACATGCCTGTATACTAACACTTGATTATTTTTGCTACGTTATGTGCCATGGAGGTTTTATTCGGGTAAACGGCAGTTTTATTCGTAGATGAATAACTTGATGGACAAGTGGGACGGCCGCGGCAGCACATGAGACGTCGTTGATGGGCGAGTGTCTTACGTCAGTATCCCTCTTTCTCGCCAAACCATTTTTTGTATATTCGATAACAGGCTTGCCAAGTTGGAGGGCCTCAACTGCACCATCTTTTTTCGTTGCTTCGATCCACTGCGCAAGAAGTGGACGCTCCTGAGAAGTTGGCTACTCCGGATGCACCGAATGTTTTACAAAGAATGGCCTGATCCTGAAGTCAATGAAGCCCGGCTTTGTTGCTTGAACAAAATAAAACTGCACAAATGCCGACTGTCAGATTAATCGCTTTGGGCTTACAGTCTTTTCCACCACACTTAACAGAAATGTACGGAGGAAGCGAATTAGAATCGTGTAGGTTCGAAAACTTGCGTTATATATAGGGTTCCGTGTTTTTGAATAAATTCGAAAAAGTCCGAAAGCACTCACCGGCAAACTTCCGAATGTTGATGTACCCCCAAAGAAAAAAAAAAAGACGGTATTTACAATTTCATGTACGCACATGGTCAATGGTCTTGGGAAATGCCACCACAATTGTCTTTCAAATGTCAGACCATTGTCAAAAAGAGCGTTATCGCTTATCTCGCCCAGGTTCATTCATGACAACAGGTCATTGGACTTTCGAGTGAAGACAAAAGGTACTGTTTTGATTTCCAGTTAGGGCCATCCTATTTGTGTTTCAAAGGAAAGAGGGAAAGGTCGTGTTTTTGTAACAGTGAAAACTATGAACCATGGAGATTACATAAAATGGGGAAGAGCGGCAGTTCAAACTTCTCTATTGCATCCTTTACCACTACTCATCACGTGGCCGCGGGGTAGGTTGATGGATTAGGATGGGATGAATACGAGCTTCCCAGCGACTACCTCCAGGAGTGTACTGATTTGAAGGTATCGACGTTTATCGAAGCATCATTTTTGTGCAACCTTTGTTGTGGGACAAATTAGTATTGTCAACGGCAGTGGCACCAACGCCAAATGCAGCTGAAGAAATGATAATTTATACGAGCGCGTTTTTATGTAACATACTCGTGTTGTTGTTGTTGTTTTTTTCAGCATGCGCTTACACTTACATATTACTTTATTTGTTTTTAAAAGAGAAGCACCTCGAAATTAATCTCTGAATTTCAAAGAATTGGGAATCAAACAAAAATTACTCTGATTTTTTTACAAAAAAATAAACTCCAAAAACACGGAACCCAATATTTAGGCCGTATACCTTCCAGTTTCTTTTATGTCAAAAAGCGGCTGATGCTTTTCGGTGTTTATTCATTTCCAAAATACCGGTGAATTTAGGTGAATGTTCTCCTGGAGACATTTAAAACAGCTTTCATTGATGAGTAAAATCTCGAATAGAAACTAATAATCAAAACGAGAAACGATTCCACTTTTATTTATATCTGATACACAATGTTCTTCAGACTTCATTATTGTAATATATGCATGTATACATTCCAAGGCTTCGTCGTGTTTCTGTACCTCTTCTATCTTCGTTGAACGAATCATAAACAGAAAAGGCCCAGATGACTTGCGCTTTTGACGCTGCTTGATTGGTGGCATTTCCATGAAGCGTCGTCTGCGTCTGGGCCTAAGCTGGAACTAGTGCCACTAAATAAGCTACGCTCCAAAGTAACGACACTTGGCCATATTCTGTCTTAAAATCATGGTTGCCAGTTATCTGAAGCTTTATCTGAAATCACAGGAAACGCCTTTCTGCCCTCCACAAATGCTTAAACAGTTCGTGACAGAGCAAAGCAATATTGCGTGACTTTCCTAACACCGAATCTAATGCTGAGGAAGTTGCACTTTTGAATCATGACGATCGGCAGTTGCGTCTGCTCTGCATACGAGCCAAAATGGCGGCGCCCACAACAATGCCGGGGAACGGAGTGCCGATACTCTAAGCGCAGCTCATTTAGTGATTCTAGCTGGAACGAAGTATAAAGAAACACCGATGTCACCCCTCATCCCCCCGGACAAGCGACGACCCAAACAATGGGAAAGACATTTCAAACCTCGCAACTAGTGTCCAAAAAGAACAAGGGCAACCTTCAACGGGGCACTCTGCAAAAGGGCACATAGAGGGCCAAAATGTTGGGGACATAAACTAAATGTCAAAATAACCAGCATTGAAAAAAAAATTACGCTTACTAAGAAGTTTAGGGAGACCTATGCTGACAGCAAACTCAAAGCGACGACCGTAATAAAAAAAAAAATATAAAAAAGAAAAGAGTTTCACGAAAGTTTACATATGAGTTTTTCGGTATAAAAAAACTGCCGCTTGTACGAAAATATCGAAAAACCATTATTTTTCGGTTTTAATATAATTTTTTTTTAATTTTCGACACCAGCGGATGTTTATTGGTGTTTTCCGATGAAAACAGGAAAGCATACGGCCCACCTATATTAAACAGTAAAAAAAAACCCTAATGTATGAAATAAAAAAAAGAGGTAACCCCAGGTGAAACATATAAAATAGCGCAACAGAAACAAGGACAAGAAGTAAACAGGATAGCGCCTGTCCTGTTTACTTCTTGTCCTTGTTTCTGTTGCGCTATTTTATATGTTTTACTAAGATGAACCAACTAGCCCAACAACGTACCTTACTAACCCCAGGTGTTTTTTTTTTTGTTTTTTTGCGCTGTTTATGATTCTAAATGTTTTCAGGGTCATCTGAAGCACGTACTCATTTTTTGTTTTCTGTTTATGAGCTTACTAAGGTGTATTGTGCCTCGCGCTATTCTCATATTGTGATGACGTCATTTTAGGATATCACACATTCTTGTGAGCGAGTTGACTTATTATCACCGGGAATATACAAAATTGACAGTACAGTGTAATCCACTTATAACGATACCAGATATAACGATATATCGCTTATAGCGATCAAATTTTTTAGATTTGTCAATTCTCCCATCGCCCCTATGTAAAAATAAACCATATATAACGATAGAATTATCGGCGACATATCGGATACAACGATAGAATTCTGGCCGCCCGGAAGGTGCTTATCACGAAAAATTTGCCTGGAAATTTGAGAAAAATTAAAATACTTGAAGCGAACGACATGAAAACTAGTAAAAATATCAAAAACCGGTCGGCGTGGAAAGATCCGCTAGGTGACGCGAGGCGCCGCCCGATTTAAAAAGTTCAGCCTCATCCTTCGGAACTAAGTGCTATCGTCATCGCAATCGCTGAAGGGAGGAGAGAAAGAGCTTGCTTGGCCGCCGCCGCGCAACGCTTCCTAGTTTTCCCCCGTTTCCGCACGTTCGTACGTTCGTGAGGTAAAAATGGCGCCGACTAAGCGCAAAGCGATATCTCTGGAGGTGAAGCAGCGAATTCACCGGGATTTCCGACAAGGATTCAAGGTTGGTAGCCTCGCAAAAAGATACGAGCTGTCTCAATCAACGATTTCTACAATCATCAAGGCTGGAGATGTCTTGAAGAAGGCTGGCACCAGCGGTCACGACGACCAGCGAAAGCGGGTTAGGGATCCTTTGTACGGCGACGTTGAAGACTCCCTGTACCAGTGGTTCTTGACCACTCGCAACCGGAACGTGCCCATAAGTGGACCTATTCTTGCCGCAAAGGCGAAGAAATTTGCTTCCCTTCTGGGACGGGAAAACTTCGAACCCGGCGGAGGATGGATTCAGCGGTTCAAGGATCGCCACGGCATCGTTTATAAAAACGTCGTCGGGGAGGCTGCCTCGCTGGACGTAAATGCGAAAGACGAATGGCTGGCGACGAAATTACCCGAGCTGTTGGAGCGCTTCCAAGAAAGTGACATTTTCAACGGCGATGAAACAGCACTCTTTTATGAGATGCTGCCTACAAAGACGCACGCGCTGAAAGGTGACCCGTGCGTTGGTGGCAAACATAGCAAGGTCCGGGTGACGGTGTTTGTGTGCGCAAACATGGACGGTACCGAGCGTCTCAAGCCCTTTGTGATCGGGAAATCGAAAAGGCCTCACTGCTTTAGGAATCAATGCATTCCAGTCCGCTATCGAAATAACAAGAAAGCGTGGATGACGCGAGATCTCTTTGAGGAATGGCTCCTCGAGTTTGACGGCGCTATGGAGAAGCAGAAGAGGAAAGTGGTGCTGCTCCTCGACAACTGCAGCGCACACAACGTCAGCCCGAAGCTAACGTCCGTTGAGGTAATGTTTCTGCCTCCGAACACCACGGCAGGTCTGCAGCCCATGGATGCCGGCGTAATCGCCAATTTCAAGGCCCTCTACAGACGTCGCATGCTGGAATGGCTCATCATGAAACTAGACTGCTCAGGATTGTCTCAATACGCCGGCGGACCTCCTGACCTGAAGGTGAGCTTGTTAGAAGCGGTGCGGTTCGTGCATGGTGCGTGGTATGAGGTGAAGCAGGTTACACTCAAGAACTGTTTTAAAAAGGCAGGCTTCGTGCGCCACAACGCCACGGTCTCGGAAGAGACAAATGACTTGCTCATCGAACCTGCCGATGTGGGTGAACTTTGGGACCACATAGCAGCTTCCGAGGAGAACATCGGCGGAGCTCTCTTGGGAGACTTTTTGAACGCGGACAACGCTGCCGCTTCATGCGAGGAGTCTACTGATGAGGCCATTGCCGAGGAACAGCAATCGCGACGAAAAATCACATCGAGCGACTGCGAAAGTAGTGACGACGACGGCGGCGACGAGAACACCCCGCCTCCAATGTCTTCACAAAATGCCCTGCTCTCCATCCAGTCGCTGGTCGGTTTTGTGCACGCAAAAGGACTGCCGCCAGCGTACGCGCAACAACTGGAAGCAATGCACACGGCAATTGTCAAACTTCAGCTCAAGCAAGCGCAAATTTCCGACTTTTTTAAGCATGCTTAAATTATTTTATAGTCATTTTCGTACCTTTTAATAAAGCCTTCGGTTTTCTTTGCCTCGGCTCGCGTTGTACGACCTGATTCACTCATCGCCCGTAAGTAACTTCTCTTTGTGTTTTTTTTTTGTCGGTCCAGATATAACGATAATCGGCTATAACGATTGGATTTTGCGGTTTTCTCAATATCGTTATAAGTGGACTGCACTGTATACCCGCACGCGCACGGAGGAAGCAGCTGACCAGTCGGATAGGCTGCAAAATTTATGTTATTTCTATCGGCCCCATATGAAACATACGTTCCAAATTTTACTTGGGTTGATCTAATTTACTCCACAACAATAGAGAAAAAGCAAAACGTGGTGGGGAGACGTGTTTCTAAAGTATATATGATAAAATAATATTTTGTCGAATAACGTTTTCAGCGCGCACACGGTCAAGTTGGCAGAATCATATGAAATCCATGTCGTGACCTAGGTAATAGTAAGCATTCAGACGTCCTCATCTACTGACGGCAGTGTTGGTCATAACGCGGTTAAGGTTGATAATAAATTAAGCCGAAAGGTAGATGCCATTTGCTTTCGTGAAACCTTATTTTCCCCAGGTGGTCGAACGAAATAAAATTTCAAAATTCTAAAGTAGCAGCAGACAAAATCACAGGGTTGTTTGTATTTGAGTCGTCTCAATCCTGATAGAAAACGTAAACGTATTTTGTCTACCACCACGCAACATCAAGAGATATAGTATAATGCCCATACTTAACTGATCAACTCAAACTCGCTGTTTTGTTACGGGTTTCGGAGTTATCTAACTTGCTAGAGTACCAGCATACTATCCGATCCGATGAAGGGAAGTCCGCATAGTGTAACTGCACAACTGCCCAGACGTCGACAGTCGCTCCGTGTTTTCACATGGACGAGCAGAAATTAAGTTTAGAAGAACGTGTACGAGGAGTCTTCTCCCCAAGAAATGTATCTCTTATTTTTTTTTTTCAGCAAAAATAAGTTACACGTCGCCGAACGCTCAATGTGTGTCAAAATGTAGCGCTAGCCGTCCAGACCAGAGCCAAAAATTTTCGAACTAACCGTTATCTGATTCAAAAGTTATAAGCGATTTTCGGAATTTTTCAAAAGGGTAAGCAGCGGCCGACAAGGTCTTCGAACACATTAAGATAGATGGCGCCGGCTACCGAGAACGGGCCCCATTTTTCTATTGAAAGATTTTGAAAATCACTTATAAGTTATAACCTTCTGAATAAGATAATTGGTATCTCTGAAACTTTGGCCTCTGGCCAGGACTGCTGGCGCTGTATTTGGGCGGAGACTAAGCGTTTTCCGATGCATAGTTTCTTTTTGCAGTAAGCAAAAAAAAAACATGATCTCAATTTTTTTTGCCGGGGGGGGGGGGGGGGGGGGAGGGGGGGGATGGGGAACACGTTTTACGTTTTAGAATTACTCTAAAAGGGTTGCTTTGCAAAAACAATGGACAGGTGCAGTCTGCCAGAACAATTATCTGGCAGTACACGATACCAACCGTATCTAATAAAATCTAGGTCAACCTACAAATCCCTCGCGCCTTGTTTACTACGGAGCGTTGGGAGGGTTAATCCTCATTTATAGAAGTATCTCAGCAAATGAAGAAGGTTCAGCAACGTGTCCAAATATTAAACAAAAAAAAAGAAAAAACGGCCTGATCTTGGACATGGAGCACCTCATCACATGCTCAAATTTACGGTGCAGATACCATTTCTATCACTAAGTCTTCTCCGTGCCTGGTTAGCCCATGTCTCCATTTCTTTTCACAGCTATGATTGGCTCCGCATGGGTTTTCTTGGTACAGTACGCGTATTCAGTTTGTTCGTGAAAAGCTAGACCTAGATTCGGTTGGAGTTCTCGTACTCAAAACTCAAAATAGCTCCGTTTAAACTGGCTGTTGTATACCAGGGCAACTAAATGATATATTGCCGCGCCCAGGGCTGAGAAAGCAACGCTCGGTCACGGACCTCCAGAAAGTTCTCGTTTATTCATGTGCCGCACGTAACTTCTATCATTTATTCCTGCTTTTGTTTTCTAGAAAGTGCGTGTTCATTCTCGCCCGATCACGCGACGCTCGAACCGCTTTCACCGAATCTTCGAGATTGCGACGCACTCTAGATAAGAGGCCGCCCGCGACCTTGTCGAGTCAGTTTTCGCCCCAGCGATCGACTCTGCTGTCTCGCCGACCTCGACGCTCGCGACGCTTTGTTATTATTTTCTATTCTCTTTTTGTATTGGCACAAGTTCGCCACATTAAACGTTTAGTTCTTCCTGTTTATTTATTGTTATTCTGGTCACCACCCGTGACATTTTGGTGGAGGTGCGGGGTACCGCATGCCTGTACAGCGTTCCCCTCCAAGATCCCGCAGTGCAAGTCCGGTACCAAGCCCAGTGAGAAGACCACTCCCCGCGGAACCCGAAACTCGGACCAGCCGGCGCATCAAGGGAGAGGATCCTGAATACGGTCTGCTACTGGACAAGCCCAAGCCGAAGAAGACGACGATGGCCGACCAGGCGCAGGCCCCGGCTGCTCCTGCCGTCGTATACCTGCCCGTCGCACCCAAAACTCCGACGCCGTTCCACGGAGACGCACACGAGGACATCGAGGACTGGCTGCAACACTATGAACGGGTGGCCCGCCATAACGGGTGGTCAGCCGAGCACTGCTTGCAGAACCTTTACTTTTCGATGGAAGGAACTGCGAGGCACTGGTTGGAAAACCACGAGGCTTCTTTGACGTCGTGGGAGGTGTGCAAGCAAGAATTGAAGAAGACGTTTGTCTGCCAACACCGACGTGAGAGGGCCGAAGATCTCTTGCGAACAAGGACCCAAGACCTACATGAGAGCGTCACCAGCTTCGTTGAGGATGTTTTCCGCCTGAGCGCCCGCGCCGATCCTCAGGCTACCGAGGAGAAGAAGCTGCACCACTTGATGAGGGGTGTGAAAAGTGAGATATTCGGCGGCCTCATTCGCAATCCCCCGACAACCGTCGACGGGTTCGTCACGGAGGCGACGAATATGGAACGAGCCCTACAAGCACGCGCCAGACACTACCAGCGACACCCCGGCGCAACCACTCTGGCGACATCCGGATCCGACCTTGGCACCACCCTCCCCGGCATCCGTGAAATTATCCGTGAAGTCGTCCAGGAGGAACTCAAGAAGCTCCTGCCCGCTGCAGTACGCCCGGCCTCACTCTCCATCGCCGAGTTTGTGCGGGAATAAGTCCAGAGAACCTTCCAGAAAGAGGCTCCCGTCGTCGTGGCAGCCCCCGAGGAGCCCACGTTGACTTACGCCGCAGTGGCTCGACGGCCACCGCCTCCTTCTCGTCGCACCTATGTCGCGCCGCCCCGACGTCAGTCTCCTGCGCCGCAGCACGGCCGACACCACGACGACCAGGTCCAGTACGCCTGCCCGGAGCCTCGCGCACCCCGCAAGACCGACGTGTGGCGAACGCCCGACCGACGCCCTCTGTGCTTCCATTGCGGGGAAGTGGACCACACCTACCGCCGATGCCCATACCGACGACTCGGGCTTCGCGGGTTCCACCCGAACGACCCGCGACCCCGTTATGGTGAACGCCCTCGGGAGATCGACGAGTACCTGCGACGACCTCAGTCCCCCGAGCCTACGTCCCGCCGAGAGTTCCGGTCGCCGTCGCCACGACGTCCAGCTTCGCCGATGCACCGACCCCGACGAGAAAGCCTGTCGCCCCTCGCTCCTCGCCGGGGAAACTAGGCGCGGCAACCCCTGGAGGTGGAGTTGCCGAAGACGACCGACGCCAAGATCCTCCACGAACGTCGGAGGGCCCCCACTCGAACGCTACCAGAGATCGAAACCACGCCCCTGCAACGGTGTCCAATAACCTAAACGTCGTCATCGACGGCCACGACGCATCAGCGCTCGTGGACACTGGAGCAGACTACTCAGTCTTGAGTGGGAGGCTCTCCCGCCGCCTTCGGAAAGTCACGACGCCGTGGGATGGACCTCAGATACGAACCGCCGGAGGGCACCTCATCACACCGGTCGGGAGATGCACTGCTCGCGTCGAGATCCACGGTGAGACGTGCCCTGTCAAGTTCGTCGTTCTGCAAGACTGTTCGAGGGACGTTATCCTCGGAATGGACTTTCTCTGCGAGTATGGCGCCATCATCGACCTCGGAGAAAACCGGCTGACGCTTCGAAAACCTGCTCCACCACAGGAGGACCCCAAAATGACGTCATCCGCGGTACGAGTCCTCGCAAACCACGTGAACCTACCGCCGCAGTCAAGTGTTTTCGTACCCGTCGGGGTCGATGAGACTTTCTGTGGCGACGTTTTGCTCGAAGGAAGCCTCCAGTTGCTTCTGGGAAGAGGGATCGGCATCGCAAGAGGCGTCACGGAGCTCCAAGACGGACGCACTACTGTCGCACTCGTAACGAACTTCCGACAGGAGGCCCAGCACCTTACGAAAGGCACCGCCGTGGGCCACGCCGAGGAACTCCCGGACGCAGCCGCAATCGCCGGAATATCAGAAGACCACTCTTCGTGGCCACCTAAGACAACGCCGCCTTCGCAGTTTGACATCGACCCAACCCTGCCTACCCCACAACGACGACAACTCAGTGACCTTCTCGCCGAGTTCAATGAGTGCTTCTCTACGTCGTCAAAGGTGCGCCAAACGACCGTTGCGAAACATCGAATTGTCACTGAAGACAACGCGCTTCCTGTGCATCGGTCGCCGTACCGTGTTCCCATGAAAGAAAGAGAAGTCATCCAGAAGCAGGTCCAAGAAATGCTCGATGACGACATTGTCCAGCCCTTAAGCAGCCCGTGGGCTTCACCGGTAGTCCTGGTGAAAAAGAAAGACGGGACTCTTCGGTTCTGCGTGGACTATCGCCGACTAAACGCCGTAACGAAAAAGGACGTCTACCCGCTGCCACGCATCGACGACACTCTGGACCGGCTGCGCCATGCCCGATACTTTTCGTCGATGGACCTGAAGAGTGGGTACTGGCAGATCGAGGTCGACGAACGGGATCGTGAGAAGAC